AAGTGGCTCATATCTGTAATCCCAGCACTCTGAAGACTGGGGCAGGAAGTTCACACAAGGTTAAGGCCAGCCTCAACTACATAACGAGTTCAAGGTTAGCTTGGTGAGACCCTATCTTAGATAAAACAAGCAACAAACCCACATGCAACTTTATTTACATTAAAACAAGGAATAAAACCAGGTCAAAGGATATCACCAGTACTGCTCAGAACTGGAATTTTGGTTGTTACACAAGTAATACATATGCATGTTTACACACACACAAACCAGGAAGAAGCCCATCTTCCCAGCAGGGACAGAAACTTTGTGAACAATTCTGCGTTGCACTGACTGAAAGTAGGCAGCCTGTGGTACTTCTGGGGGAACTCTGGGTAGAAGAGCACAGGTTAGGAGGCAGGAGAGTGCTACAGCTACTCAGCAGACTGTACAGTTGTATCTCTCTCTGTGTGTGTCTAGGCATGACTCTAGAATGATCGATCTGATGGTCAGACATGATTCTGCCAGACATCAGGGAGGATGTCCATCAGTCCCTGGTGAAGGCTGAGTGCAGGAGGCAGGACCACAGCAGGTAAAGCGGTGGAGGAAGGCTCCCTGGGGATAAACCAGACCACCACCTAAGTAAAAGGGTCTCGGTCCCCAAACCAGGTTACCTTCTGCAGAAGAGAGATCCTTGGCCCCTCTGACATACCCTTCACAGCTCCAGCTCCCATGCCTTTGTCTCCCTGTTCCTTTCGAGGGAAGCCCTCCTTAGCCCTTAAATCTCACAGAGAACTCCCACCTTGTTCCTTGGCAGTCAGTTACCTCATACAACCTTCTCCAGTTCCTACTTAACTCCTTTGGTTTAGAACAGCAAAGAAAGCTCCAGTGTTTAGACAGGCAGAACCGGGCATCCCAATGGACTCCCCAGGAAATGACTTTGGGGGCTTTAAACCCTCTGGGTCTCACATTCCCTTCCCAGGAGCTCTTCCCCAAACAAATGCAAACATATCTAGTGTGGAACAAAAGGAACCTTCAAGACCAGTCTCTGGTCCCCAGTGCAGAGCTGCCCTCTCCATCCCAGCTGAAGCAGCTGGCCAGTCGCAATCTCTCACTATTTCTGCTGTGTAAAATGGAGGCAATCCTGTCTTCTTGGTCATGGTGTAGGCCAGATGGACCGGGTGTGGAAAGGCTTTGATGTTGACAAGGTCCCAGCCAGGTTTCTTGGAGAGGCTACTGCTGTGACAGCTGGTGCCACACTGTCCCCCAGCTTCTCATCTCTGGGGTTGGGTTGGCCATCCCCAGGCCTGGGCTTGTTCTTGTACTCTGTATGCAGTCCTGGGAAGCAGCATGGGGGGAGCTCTCAATGGATAGCCATTGAGTTTGCTTCCCCACAGCAGTAAAAGACAGCACCAGACACCCAGTTCCCAGTCACCTACAAATGTCCTCTCTTCTCTACCCTCACTGGCCAGGTGTTGCCAGCTGTCCTCCCTCTGTCGGTCTCCTCCATCTCCACACTGGGGTCAGTGAGCACTTTGCACATCAGCAGAACTCTTAGCCACGCTCCCTTCTTCCTTTCTGCCCTCTGAGCAGTTGGGTGTTCTCTGGGAGATTTTAATCAGACCCTGCCTGGTCAGTTTCTTGTCTAGTTCCCTCGGTGGTATCCTATGAGACTTAGAATGAGACCAACTCATTGACCTCATCTCTGGAAAGTTCCAAATATGCTCTTCAAGGAGGCCTTCACATCTGCCCTTGCCACCATCTGAGTGTGATGCCTTCCCTGCCAACTCCACACACTTGTCCCCATTCAGACTTTCCTTGGCCACCTATTCATTCATTCATTCATTCATGCATTTATTCACTGTTTTCTACCACCAGAATGTAAGTTTTCTCTTATTCACTCAATCTCTAGGGCATAGAGTATTTCTCAATGGGTGTTTAATTCATATTTGTTGAATGAATGAATGAACAAATGTTGAATGAGATACAGTGATATAACAAGAATGTGTGTTTGCACCCTGCCCCTAGTTCCCAGCACAGAGCTCCTCACCCTTTGATGTTGTCTAAGAGACATAATCTAAGGTGCAGTTTTGGTTCTGATATTTGGCCTTTGTCCTTGATACCTGACACAGAGTTCCTAGTCACAGGAATGTTGCTTGCTTTAATTGAACATTCCTTAGTAGGCTCGTGTATGGGGACTGGTCACCAGAAAAACAAAACAACAACAACAACAACAAAACCAAACAAACCATAACTGGAAGCTTGGAAGCTTGCAATATTCAAGTACATTCTTCATTTCTGCAGAGGAAATTCCAATTTCCATTAAGAAGATGCAATGAGGGATGGCTCAGCAGGCTAGGTGCTTGCTGCCAAACCTGGTGACCTGATCTCAATCTCTGAAACTCATGTGGTGGAAGCAGAGAGAGCCAAGTCCTGCAGATTGTCCTCAGACCTCCACAGGAGCATCGTGGCATGCATGCCTTCCCCCCAAGTATAATAAGTAAGAAGAAATTGTTATAGGGAAAAGGTGTTCCCACTGGGCATGCGGACTGAACAGGTCTCCTCTACCTGCCCTGAGTCCCTAAGGTATATAATGCCATACAAATTTACCAGGGCAGAGCAAATAAAGGATGGGGCATGAGAGATCTCAGCAAATGCTTGGAAGACGGAAGTGGAAAGAACAGGTGTGTGTGGCTTAGCAGATCTAAAAAGGCTGGATCCTCAGGTTACAAGGAGAGGTCACAGGCAGCGTGAAAATTGATGCCAATGCACCTGGAAAGTACAGGAGTCAGCAGAGCTGGAAAGTAGGCTAAAGGTGACCTGTCAGACCCCCAAGATCTTCTCTACCCACATTAAATATGAGAACAGCGTAGTTCTGAAGACTTGAGAGCACCTGGCCTAGTACAGGGTTGAGGCTAGAGGGTCCCGTGACAGATGCTGGGGAAGAGTTGGGGACAAAGAAACTAAACAAACATCTGCACACCAGCCCATATGTTCAGACCCAACATGCTACCCCAACTGTGCCCCCAGAAACCTGGGGAGAAGGTTGAAAACATTTATTTCAGCCCAAGAGAAGAGTTACCAAACGGCAGGCTACTGACATTCAAATGACATTTGTGAGACCCTAATGGAATAACCCTCTCTTGCCACCCCAGTGGGGCACCTCACTCAAGCCTCCAGATTCCAGTGCCTTTGGTTGTCTATGGAAGAACCATATGGATCACCAGATGTGTGAGCAAAGAGCCCCAGAGAGAGAACAGACACACAGGGAGAAACACTTGGAGAAGCTGGAGTGACAGCTATGAGAGATTCTGACCTTCTAATCTAAGGTGGTTATGCTCTGCAGGGTGTGTGTGTGTGTGTGTGTGTGTGTGTGTGTGTGTGTTGGGTGTGTATAGTGTCCCTGTAAGCATCAGTGAAATGATCTGCAAAGAAGCAAGAAGGAAAACTCAGTTCAGCTGGACTTAGCCAGGCTGGATCAAACTTTTGGAGTTTGATGCCAAGTCATTTGTTGTAAGCTTATTTAAACACAGTACTATTTGGGAGAAGTTTCCTGGTGTAATAGAATCCCTGGTACATAACGAGGAATGATTGCATTAAAACTCAACTCAAAGTACGTGTCGTTTCTTCCAAGAAGATGGGTTCTAGAGATAGGCTACATGTATTAGTTTAAGAGGCTAGGGAAAGATCTGGCATGGCCTCGGTCATACAGATAGCACAGAGGTCATTTAAGCTACTAGCCTAGCATTCCTCTTTCCTCTGGTCCTCTGTGGGCACAAGGGCCTTTGTGTCCCCCAACACTGCTCATCAACAAGCATGTGTTGCTTCATGATTTAAATTACTTTATACTGTCAGCTGTGGTGGTGCATGCTCTGAATCCCAGCCTCCCACACTCAGAAGCAGGGACAGGAAGATCTATCTGTGTGAGTTCAAGGTCAGTCTGGTCTACACAGTAAGTTCTAGGCCATCCAGGGCTACAGAGTAAGACCCTGTCTGAAAACAAACAAACAAAAAATACCAAAGCTGAAAATACCTTCATTCTAATCAGTTGACCTAAAAATTGGGTCAAGCAAGATAAATTTTAGAAATCTGCTACATAATTATGTAATTGTAGTTAGTTATTGTGTATTGTACATCTGCTAAGAAGATCTATCTCATATTAAGTGTTTTTATTACAAAAATAAAAACAATATTGCACCTATTTGTCAAATGTCTTCTAGTGCAGCAGTTTGAACGAAAATGGCCCCTATAGGCCCCCAGTTGGGGGCACACTCTGCCTCCTGCTTTCGGTTTGAGATGTGAGTTCTTAGCTCACCTTATGGACTCTAATCCCTGGAACAATAAGCCTAATTAAGTGCTTTCTTTCATAAGTTGCCTTGGTCATGGTGTTTTATTATAGCAATAAAAAAGTAACTAAAACGAACGAAGAGTTTGGTACCAGGGAATGTAATATTGCTGTGGCAGACCCAACAGTGCTATTTTTTTAAATATGGAAGACTTAGGACTAAAAACAAAAAAGTAGTTGAATACTGTAAGCATTGCTTCAGGGGCCATCCTAGTAGGATCCCGGAAGACAGCATTGCCGAGAGCAGTGTGTACTGCCGGCCCAGTTCAAGAGGTTTCATAGAGGACAATATTAGCAACTGGGCTAGTGGATGTTTTGTGATATTTTGACAAAGAATGTGGCTCTCTTCTGAAGTTAATTTAAAAGTAATGGGCTGATTTCTTTGGCAGAGGATATTTCAAGACAGCCTAATGTTGGCTCTGTGGCACGGTTATTATAGTCACTCTTAAGAAAGTCTACAGTGAAAAAGAGCATGTAGGGCAGAAAGACATACAAACTGTACATTTGAGAAGAAAAAAATCACCAGGAAATTTAATGCTGGACCCAAAGTGTGGTGGTTTGAATGAGAAGAGCCCTCATGAACTTTAATATGCTGTAGCGCCTGCACGGCCAGACAGTACGTGAGCCAGGAACTAAGCTGGAGACTTACACACACACACACACACACACACACACACACGGACACGGACACGGACACGGACACGGACACGGACACGGACACGGACACGGACACGGACACGGACACGGACACGGTCATCCTTGATACAAGGAAGTCGAGTTTATTGTGCTTCAGGGAAGCTTATATAGAGATAGCCACGCCCCAGCTCTCGGGATCTTTCAGCTGCAGGCCTCATCAGAACCCACTCCCCTGCCATCAAGGTCTCGTGCTCAGAGCAGCTGCAGGCACAGGTGTTTTGCTCAGTTCACTCCAGCAGGAAAAGGGTCTGAGGCAGGCAAAGAAAGTCAAGGAGCCAGGGGTCTGCAGCCCCTAACAATAAGTGAACACTTGGTTCCCTAGTTGGTAGACTATAGGGAGATAAGGCCTATAAGGCTGAGTGATGAGTGAACCTGGATTTTACCCAAGGGCTTAGCAACAGGCGTTATCCAAGGTCGTGATTGTGCCTAGCCAATGAGGGGCGGCTGTGCAATGCCAATGGATCGAATGCAGCCTGGGTGCTGGGAGGAGGGTCTATAAGATTCTCCCCATTGCGGAATAAATGAATCTGTTGTTCGCCTTTTACCTGAGTCTCAGGATCTATGTTGTTGATGCCACACCTTCCCACCCCCTCCCCTGAGAGAGCTGTTAGGTCCCAACCACATCTGGTGCCTGCACGGTTTCTGGTCACCCCCTCTCCTTGCTCACGGTGCTGGACAGTTCCCATAAGATGGTGTATGTTGGGGAGAAGGTCCCTCGATGTTGTGTGTTTTCCGTTCCTTTGGCAGGAAAGTGTTGGGACCCCCTTTCTTTCCTTCTTTTGTGTTATGTTTGTCTGCCCATCCAGTCAGGAAGGCACACTTTTCTGTGTCGGTTCACCAGGTGCCTCCACATAAGGACTGACCACCAGGAGGTGGAACCAAGGCTTGGCTCTCAGACACCATCGCCCACCCAGAGACACCATGTAGGCACCCAGCCATGGTCTAAAAAACCACAGAAGTCTCCCATTGAGCATAAAATATGAAGGTCGAACACAGTCTTCCACCTTGGTGACTGCCATCTTCTCTCTGACTGTTGCTCGCCTGCTGTCTCCCTCTACAAATGGATAACCTCCACCCCTTCCGTGTCTGATCTCTCTACGGCAACCAGTGACGAGGAGACAGAAGGTTCAAGCCCTGTGAAACCTACTGAGGAGAACACTGCCATAGTCAAGACCATCCATGCTGCTTCCCCAGCATCTCCACTCCCACTGTGGGAGGCTGCACCTCCACTACGGTACCCTGGGTACCCTCAGAGGGAAGCACCTCAATGTCTGCCTGCTTGAAGGCAGGAATTCCCTTGCACTGTGGTATGATTCCCAGTTGCTGCAGCTCCCCCTCCCCTGTCTCAGGCCTCAAAGGCCAGACGAAGCCTTTACAGTCAACCTGGGACAAAATGCATTAACCAGCCCTGAATTCCCACCCCCACCATAGCTGAACTCTCCCTTATGAGTCCGGCTGGATTCACCTTACTTCAAACACCACAGGAAGTTACACATGCCTGGTTATCTGAAGTTCACACGGCTACCACCCAGTCTTCCCACCCGGCAACTCTCCAGCAATGAATGCTCTTCAAGGGACGGTAATCAATGATGGATAAGAGCTTGTTCGGCCAGCCAACCCAAGATAGGCACAGTCTAGTCACTGAGCCATCCTGAGGTGGGGTCAACAAGAACTATGGCGCTCACTGAGCGCTCATGTAATAAATAAAAAGGGCTGGGCGGTGGTGCTTTTAATCCTAGCACTTGGGAGGCAGAGACAGGCGGATCCACATGAACTCAGGGACAGCCACACCTGGCAGCAGCATCCATGTGAACTCAGGGACAGCCACACCTGGCAGCAGCATCCATGTGAACTCAGGGACAGCCACACCTGGCAGCAGCATCCACGTGATTCTGGCTGTAGGATCATGAAGGATACAAGGGTAAATGGTTGTAGAATCTTCCTCTGAGGGTAAGAAATACCACTGAGGCTAGGCAACTTGAGACAGGGCAAGCACTTCATGAAGGCCCTGGAAGGATGAGAGGCCAAGAGGCCATTGTGTGCAGTTGTGAAGTCTGCATGTGTTCGAGACCCCCAAGATGTTAGAGGTACCAGAGTCATGAGACCTGTACACATGGAGTGAGACCAGAACACAAGAGAGATATATCTTTCAGGCAACAAACCTGGAAGAGTAGAACCACCAAAACTTTTGACATGGGACATGGAATTACGGGATTTGGCATTTGCTGTGCTGGATTTCAGTCTTGCTTTGGTCCAGTGTTTCCTCACCATGCCCCGACTCCTCCCTTTTGTGATGGTGATGCATATTCTGTGCCACTGTGTTTAGTTTGCTTTTAATTTTGTAGTGGGTTGTAGTTAAGAGATTGCCTGAGTTCCAGACAAGACTTTAAGACCTTGGACTTTGAAATGGTGTTGGGACTGGAAGACCAGGAGACCTTTGAAGCTGGACTAACTGCATTCTGCATTATGATATGACCATGAACCTATGGGGGTCAGGGAGTGGAATGTGAGAGTCTGGATGACTATAGTCCCCAGAGGCTGATATAGTTAAATACTTGCTCTCCAGTTCGCAGGACTGTTTGGGAAGGGTTAGGAGCTGTGGTCTTATTGGAAGAATGCTACTGAGGGCAGGATTTGAGGGTTCAAAAGACTGGGGGCGTCCCTGGTATAGCCTCTGCCTCCTGCATGGGGTTTGAGATGTGAGCTCGCAGCTATTCCTGCCACCAAGCCTTCACTATACCTTCATAGCCATCCCAAACCAGAAACCCTATTAAATGCTTTCTTCTCTAAGTTGCTTTGGTCAGTGTTTTACCATAGCAACAGAAAAGTAACTAGTGCACAGGTACTTGCCAGGCCTTGGAGACTGTGTTCGTCTACTTTGTATTACTCCAACAGAATGCCTGGGATAAACTAACTCAAGAGGAAAGGTTCATTTGAGCTCCTGCGTTTGGAGGTTTCAGCCCTTGCTGTTTAGGACCTGTGGTGAGGTTATACATGGTAAAGACATGGTAAGGTCAATTTATGACTAGAAAACAAAAAGATGAAAAGAACAGGGTAGCACAGTCCCCACAGGGCATGCTGGGTCCTACAGATGGGTTCCGTCTTACCTCTATGGTGCCAGGAAGTGAGGAGGGGGATACTAAGAAAAGCCTTTGTAGAGCATCTTAGCTCAGATGGCTCTCAGGAGCAGTGCATAGGTTTCTGCTTTTATACCTGCCACCCACATCCTGTCTGCTCACTCACTCCAAGTGCCTGGCTTCCTCCACGGCTCCCATGCCCTGGGATGTCCTGCCACTGGCCCTGACCTGAGATCCACGGGGGCCAGCATTGCACCATATGCTATGCCCAGCAGCCTTGCTAAGGCCGCTTCTGATGCCAGGTATTGAGTTTTCGCTTAAAAAATCAACACTGCCAAGGGTTTGTCTGCTTCACTCACCGTTTAAGGAAAAACACCTCTTTTTTTTTTCTTTTTTTTTTTTCTTTTTTTTTTTTACTAATTTTCCCTGCAGTTTTAAATTTAGCTTTAGTTATTGATTTTTTGAGACATAGCTCTGGCTGGTCAGGAATTTGTTTGTGGTAATCTGCCTGCATTTGCTTCCTGAGTGCTGGGATCACAGCTGTGCAGTACCATTCCTGGCTCAATTCTGCAATTTTTAAAATTGTTTTTATACATAGTTTTCTCCGCTCCTCTCTCTTCCTCTCCCCCCCTCTTCTATCCTCTCCCGTGTTCCCCATGCTCCCAATTTACTAAGGAGATCTTGTCTTCTTTGTTGTCTAGGTTCTCTGGGATTGTGAGTTGTAGGCTGATTTTTCTTTGCTTTATGTCTAAAAGCCACTTATGTGTGAGTACATATGATATTTGTCTTTCTGAGTCTGCTACCTCACTCAATATGATGTTTTCTAGATCCATCTATTTGCCTGCTATTGGCATAAAAACAGACAGGAGGACCAATGGAAATGAATCAAAGACCTGGGTATCAATCCACTCACCTACAAATACCTGATTTTTGACAAAGAAGCTAAAAATATAAAATGGAAAAAAGCATATTTAACAAATGGTGCTGGCATAACTAAGTATCAACACGTAGAAGAATCAAAATAGATCCATATCTATCGCCATGCACAAAATTCAAGTCCAAATGGACACATTTCCCTGAAGAAGTCCCAACAGCTCTCACAATGAAAACTGGGAAAAGGTTCATCCCACTGCTTGCTATACACAGGAGTGGAGATGTGTTGGGGTGGAGGTGGGTGGGAGAGGGGGAGGTGGTAATTGTTTTAACATCTGTGAAGACCACCGTCAGTACAAATATGTGTCCTGAGAGGGACATTGCTTTAGGAGCCTTATGTGTCTTGGGAAGCAACTGACCGACTCCACCTTCTTATCTCATGAAAGAAAATGCAAAAACTAAGAAGTTCTGTAGGTAGTCACAGCTCAGAGACTCAGGCCCATGGAAAACCGAGGTTTCTCTTCCCCATAAACTTACTAGTCAAAAATGGCTCTCCCTCGTAACAGTGAGTTCCAACTATAAGAATTAGGCCTAGTTAAGATAGAGTCCATGCCAGGTGAGGCTGCATGGTGCCTGTGGTCCCAGCAGGTGGGAGGCGAGGCAGGAAGATCAGGAGACCAGACTTAGCTGTATGAAACCCGATCTCAAAACAAAAGCAAAAACAAAACTAAAGAAAGAATCACAGGAAACTCAAAGACAGTTATAGATGCAGGAAATATTAAATGGTGCCCAGATCCTTGTCAAGTTAATACAAAATCTCACGGTAAAAATTGTTTTCAGTTTCTTTTATTCAAAGGCAAAATGTCTGGCTCTCAACGACAATGAATTACAAGGCAAACTAAAAGACAAGAAAAACAACACAGTTTAGAAGGGCAGCCATGGGTTGTAGTTTGGAAGTTATATTCTTTCATAATCCTTTGAAATTATAATATGAATACAACTAATTGGTGCTTGTACAATTTTCCTAATATTTCCTAGGTCACACTTTAACTTCACTTAACCTTTCTCCAAACCTATGTATTAAATTTTCCTCTACATTTTATATCTTAAA